CCTGTTCAACCACTGACCCACAATCAGACACCAGAACCGGTTTTGGTCAAAATTAAACCATTGGTTAAGGGTTCTGGATATGATTAATTTTCAATTTCAAATATATAAACTCAGCCTGATTTGGATGGAACTAGAATCAGAGCTCTGTGGATCTTACTGCCATGATTCAGAAGGCAAAAACATTCAAGGAGAGAAAAACAATTAGTTAATAATTTCTAAAGGAAAAGACAGAACATGGAGAAATGATTTGTCCACAGATGCTGCGGCTGCTTAATGAGGTCAGGGAAAAGCAGCAGTAAAAACAATCTGAACTATTTCCAGAACGTCAGAACTTTGAAGTTAGCAGAGCTTTTCATCTGAGCCTCGGTTCAGTCCATCCGGGCTGCTACAGTTCAACAAAACACGCACATACCGAGGCGGCGGCATTAAAACGTGTGGCGTGTGCTTTAGCACCCTCCCTCTTCCTTTTCTTGTCTTTTTCTTTTTCATCACCACCTTCCTCCCTGATTTCCCCTCCTGGTAAACAGGCAGAAGCTCATTAATGGACCCAGACACAAACGAGCCAGTCTGCCTCCATTAGGTCTCGATAATGTTAAAGAAATATTCAGAAATTTCCAAAGTGTTTTCTGGATAAATTTAATCGACTTGTTCATCTTGGAAGGTTTTAACATTTTATGAAAATAAGCAGCAGTAATAAATCTGATTAATTTTGCCAATGAAAGATGTAGGCAACACCTGCATGAATATCCAGGACTAATCTGAGTAATTGATTTCTGTAATTTAGCTTTAAGCTAATAAATATATCTCCACACAGGAAGTTTAATGGAGCTACAAAAGGATCGTCTTTATGATGAACAGGAGAGGAACAAAGTGTTCACTGCAAAGTTATGGGGAAAGAGTCTGACTAAACATCTCTGCAACACCAAGGATGAGGAACAGAGAGCAGATAAAGATCTTAAAAACTTATGAGTTTCTTCCTGTTTCCATTTAGGAACATCCTCCTATTGATAAGGAACTGATTTATCTGAATCTTTTCTCCGCAGTAAAGAGAGAAAATTATCTGATCTGCAGATAAAATTAAGTAGCATCAGTTCTGACCAGGAGCCTCCCATTAAAACCAGTAAACATTTTCTAATCCACTGGTTTTCTAAACATCGGTGAGGGGGAAGGAAAATGTCTCACATGAAAAACTGAAAGACAGGAAGTTTGATCTTAAACAGCTCTGCATGATTTCTAGAAAGTATTCAATATCAATACTTTGCTGAAAATAATTATAAAGTTATTATTTAGGTTCTTCTTGTTTCCTCCCAGTAAACATTGTACTCATCTATCAGAGAGCTTTAGCAGCTCAGCTACAGAAGAAATATTCCTGGTTTTGAGGAAAAATTGAAGTCCATTTAACTGCCGCAGCAATAGATGTGAAATTATTAGCTCCTATTTAACATGTGGGGTTGCAGTAATGTAGCACTGATTTTTATATAATAACTGGTTGTACTGTCCAGCTCTGGTGTGGAACCTGCTGTAGCTTCACTGTATTAGGAGTCAGAACATCTAAGAACCTATGATGATAAACCTCCAACCACAACCTAAATGTTTTGTGGCTCTGAAGCTTAGTCATAATCACTGATTTATTTCTATTAGGGAATTATTTATGTCCATTTTTGGAGCATCTGCTCTGCAGAATAAGAGACACACCCTAAGTTTTAAATAGATGTGAGTCACGTCTGAATTTCTCAAATCTATAGTATATCTAATCTAATCTATAATCTAACGAGCCCACAGCAGAAATTCTGAAACACTTTAATAACATAAAAAAAATCATAAGGTTTCTAGAGATAAATGTTTAAATTTGAAATATTATACAGTCCTTATGGAGATAAATGTCAATTATGGGCTTTGATTATATATTTGGACCAAATAATTTTCCAAAGTGGAATGATTATACAAAATCAAACTTTATTTTAACAGTTTTAACTTATTTTGAATTTTTTTTTCCCTATAAAAAGGTAAAATTGATTTGAACTCTCTCAAATGAAGTTATGATGCTGATGATAATGAGTTATTCCTTAATAACCTGAGGAAACTAACAAAGATCTATATTTAACCTTTATTATCGTAGTTTTTTGGGGTAAATTGTGACTATAATAAAAGCATCAACGTAAAAAAAAACTAAAGTCATTAGAGTTCAAATCAAAGTTAAATCTCAGGTCTTTTCAAATATAAACATCTGTAATTAGGATCAAGTCATCAAGCCAAAGTCCAATTACTTCTAAGGTACAGCTGTAAATCTATAGATATATTTTTAAAATATCTTGAGGATTTGCCCTATAAAGTCATTATTCTGAAACAAAAAATAAAAGTTTCAAATGAATTAAAGCTCCGAACCAATCAGAGCTTCACACCAATGATCAGTTCTTACATGTTTGACTCTAAATCATGTTTTAACATCGACATTCATGTCAGAAGGGGAGGATTTAGGCGGCTGCAAACAAACACTGTAATCATACTTTCCAATTCTCCATAAAGTACAGCTTGCAGCACAGCTTTTCTTTTTAACGTTTTTATAATGACTGAACATCAATGGCTGCAAACATAACAGCCTCCCTTAAATTCTGACCTATTTTTCTTTTCAAGTATTTCAGTCTGATTCCTTGATTACAAAGACCAACTGTCCTCAAATGTAAAATGACATTTTTCTGTGCTTCACCCTCAATTAGCTCTCTACAGGAGGAGCTCTCAGTCATCTAAATGTACCTTGGCTCTGATTTAGTCTGTGTTTGCTTAAAAACACTGAGCGTATGATTACAGCTGAGAGAACATGGGGACAGCGGGTGACCAGTCATTCGGTTTGGCTGAAATCCGTCAGTCATTCAGAGGATCTGTCCTCCCTTCACTGACTGCATCTTCAAGTTTAAAGGAGATTTAAAATAGTTCAAGAAATTGATTCTGACATTATTGAAATATAAATCTGTTTATAAAAACTTTTGTTCTTTTTTCATCACTTCGATATTGTCATCAGATCAGGTTTTATAAGATGTAAAAAGCTGAACCGGTTGAATATTTGAAGGTTTGTGCAAATATACAATTATTTGGTTAATTATAAATAATAAATCATGTTTAAAACTGCTACAAACCAGCAAATCTCTGAGTTCAAACAGTGTTTATGCTGTTTATTTCCCTACTTTACATGACTGAACACCAGATAACACCAAGCTTCAAAGCCAGCTTAGAAACCACCTCGTCTGCAGAAAACAGCATCAACTGAGCTCTGTTCTCTACAGGTGTGTGTTTCAGTGTGGGGTACCTCCACCACTCAGTACCCCGGTGGTTCGCTGGTGCCAAGTGACTTCAAACACCGCTCAGTTATTCGGTGCACAGCAATAACATTCAGCTGGTGAAAAGTGACATTTTTGCAGAAATTAAGAGGAATTTGACCCCAGGCATAAAGGTGTCTTTCTACAGAGCTCAGCCTCACATACCACAGCTTGGGGGTGGAGGGTGGAGCAGGGAGGAAAACCGAGCCAGGAGGGCTGAGCAGATACCCAGGAAGGACTGTCAGGTTGGCAGGAGGAAGAGGAGGATGCAAGATAATATAGAATTAAAAAAAATAAGATTGTAACGACAAACAGGAAAACGAACAATCTAAAACTGTGAACTATAAGTAAATGTTTTGATTTTAAGCTCCTAACTTTAAAGCTGAAAATCTAGTAAATCTTTGCTTAATACATTTTAGCTAATTTAAAAACATTAGGTGGAAATTATCTTTAAAAATTTCTTATTTTTAACTTTCGCCTTAACCTGTAACTCTCTAGGTTAGAGGCTGATGCTGCTTTTCTAAATCTGCTGCTGCTGACTTGGCTGAAATAGTCTGCTGGTCCTGAACAGAGAGGTCATTGTGCTTCCTCCATCTGCTGGCAGCAGCTGGTACTGCAGGAAAAAAACCCACTGAGGCAGTTTGGAGCAAAAACCTGCTACCTGGATGAATAATTAATATATAGTTCTCCTCGTCTACTTATTTTAACCAGGAAATTGATGATTAGCTCATGATTTATATTGCACATACTCTGACTGCAAAAAAAAAAACTTGAATGTAATTTGGTGTCCAGAAAACCAAACAAATTAAGCATCAGTTTAATGGTGCAACAATAATGTGTAGTTGTGGTTAATAGTATGTTAAGTGTGTCTGGTTTTACTGTTGGTAATGATAAGGTGGACATGGAAATGAATAGTTGCTGAACATAATAGAGAACAGATTCATCCTCATAACTCTGTTGTGTTTTATCAGGGTTTCAGCAGAGGGAACAGAGGCAGCATTGTTGGGGGAAGTTTTCTCTGCTCTAATCTCAGCTGTGCTGCATCCTTTTAGGTGGAGTGCGGCCAAACAGGTGTGGAAGGAACATGGAAAAAAGTTGCTGCTAAGGAGAAATTACAGAGGAGGAGATAAGAGGAGGTGGAGAGAAGTTGGCAGCTTATTAGGATGAAAGCTCAGCACTCCCTCTAGAGGCTAATAGGTGGAAGTGCAGGGGCAGTGGTCAGCTGGGGCCCTGGGGTCCTGCTGGACTGAGGAGGGGATCAGGTTTCCAGGAAACTGTAGAAGAAAACTTCAATCTGATCACTGCTTGTGTTTTAAGTGGATCCTGAAACGATTCCAGCCTGAATTTATTAGTTATTTTCTATTAATAGAAGGACTGGTCTCTAATGCGGCTGCAAACTTCTGATTATTTTTTCCTTTTAATAACAAATGAGAAACTCTTCAAATACAGTATTAAAACTTTTACTCAGACATGATACAACAAACAGAAACAAGATTCAGAATTAATGACTGAAAAAAAAAAACAAACGATATTATTCTTTTTTTCTTCTTCTTTCAATCCCCAAAAATAAAAGTCAATTAGCTCCACCAGTAAAACGGAGTAAAATACAAACGGGACCAGAAAAACAGACACAAGAGAAACAGACGAATCAAACAGAAGAGTGATAGAGTCAGGTCGGGTTTTTTTTTTCTTTTCAGTTCTTGCATTTGTTTTAATACTCGTAGTAAAGAAACGGTGGATAGCATAGGTTGAATTTATGGAGACGAGAAACAAGACAAAGAAACACTGTGAAAGTTTTTTTAAGATGAAGAGTAAACGATTAAGGAAGATCCTAGATCTACTGGAAAATATTTTTTTTCTTCAGTTTTTCCTCTTGATCAATAACTGAACACCTGATCCATCTTGTTTAACTTCTTTCCTCCCTCTTTGTCTCAGCAGACCTTTACGTAGCCAAAAACCAGAAACACCGCCGTCCCTCAGGAGGGCGGCCATTTTGAATCAGTCCTTTCTATCGGGTTCCTTCACTGTAGCCACGTCTTGGTCTGGGTTTCTTCTCTGCTCTTCCTCTAAAGCTACAACCACAGTTTCTACAGCTCCCAACTACGCTCACACTCCAACCAGAGAAGATCAGGTCCAGGGTTAGTCTGGCTCTATCTAATCACTCCTTATTTGCATTTCTCTCATATATTTGTTATCAGGTCGTGGGACCCTATAAAGCACCAAATGATCAGCTTGAGCACCCAGAGGGGTCCTCGCCCAGGACCAGCCCTCTCCACACAAGCTGCCATTTCCATTCCTATTAGGGCCCCTGTTCAGAAACTACTGATGCTAGCGTTAGAGCACTGTCTTCACCGTGCTGCACAAGAATCACGATTTACACAAACGAAGAGGGCAGAGTGGCCCAAGAACAAAGATGGCTGCAGACAGCTTGGCAGTGATTGAGAACTGTGAGGGTGACGGTCTGAAGGCTGCATAGCTCACTCTGAACCTCTACGGTTGAACCAGCCTCGGCTCTGAGGGGGTACAACGGCGCCGCCCTGTCTGATCGGGTCACCCAGTCTAATAAAAAATAAGATAAAAATCCTTTCGATTAAATCTCTACTCATAAAACACAAGAAAATGTAACAAAGATGGCGACGGCAATGCTGCTACGCAGTCAACAGGTGGCAGCATGCGTCTGCCTTGAGTGCACACTCGCAATGACGAACATTTGTGGGAGGGGCGGTGCGATGCGGCGGTGATCGCGGATCGTCGCAGCTCTGCCGTCAAGTAAAGTAAGCAAAGAGGAAACAGGCGGCTCTGAATCCTCTTCTCTACGGTTTCCCCCCACATCAGCAAAACGCTTCACATCCTCAAACGGTCCAGAAACCGCAAGGTTCCCAACGCAAAGCTGCTAGCTTTCAGCTACGGCAACTGAGATGGGTCAGAACAATGCCAGGAGGTGATTTTATTTTTAATAAAGCTTCGGCTCAACATCCCGGCTGATTTTTTCTTGACGACCCCCAGCGTGTCACAGCCAGAGTTACAGTTTCTGCCAGTTAAAACATGAAGCTGCAGATTAATGAAAATATGCATAAAAACATGGCCACACAGCCAGTAAACGCCTGCCTGCTCAGTGGCCTAGCTTAAAAACCTGCACCGCTCCATAGCTTTTATCACTGTGTTTATAATCTTCCGAAGCTAAGCTGTCAGCTAAATATTGAAAACAATATAGAAACCTAAAGCAAAAACAAACATGACTGCTGAATGGAGGGATGTAGAACACTTTACTGCTAATTAACACCAAATAACAGATCAATAAACACGATGCGCGTGTTACAAGATAACTGTAACTGTTCTCATCCTCATCCCTGGTTATGAACACGTTAAATTATTCACGACAGGAAGCTCCAACAGAAGAGAGGAAAAACTTTATGCTAGCAGGTTTCCAACAGTTGGCTTCAGGACTCAAAGCTGCATCGGCTCGTTTTCCCGCATCCTAAAGCACTGAGACCCTGATGAGGGTGGAGGTTATGAACACGCCTCCATCTTTCTTTACTCTGTCATCAGAAGCCGACTTTTCTGCAAATAATGGAAACAGCAAAAATTAAACCAAACATCTGACAGATGGAAGCAAAACTAAAACCAGGCAGCGCTCTAAGGTCAACTTTCCTAAATTATTAAGAGTAAATCTTACAGGTCAGCTGCAATCCTCACATCACAGCAATAAGTCGGCCGAACGTTCAAAGAATCAGGATCTGATCCTCTCATCATCTTCAGATTGTGAACCTGATAGCTTCCAACAATTAGGATCTCCCTAAAGATGAGTCTGAGCGTAAGAAAAAAAGTCGTTCTCTACCAGAATGAGGCCGGTGAACATTTTATACTTAAAGACAACAAAGCTGATGGAGAACAGGCTAGATCTACGTCTGATTTGTCTGAGTTCTTGCATACTGTATTTGCATTGATGTGAATGTGCAGGTCATTAAAGACCAGGTTAATGATTTAGCACCTGGAAGAGGACAGCTGGACCTCTTCACGAGAAGGAAAACTGCAAAACATGTTCTGATTTCTATCAAATCTGTTGGCGAAGGAGGCAGCTGAATACTTTAGATTATCGACACTCTGCCGGGGGGGAGCGGAGGCCTGTGCTCCCCGGTGCTGCTCACATTTTGAGGGCGTGTGGAGGGTTTTTTCTTCTCAACGCTTCGTAGCTGCATTTGACTTTTTTTTTTTCTTCACAATTTTTTTTCTTTAAATCACAGTAAACATCAAGTGCTATAATGTCGAGAAGAATCCAGCCAATCGGGTTACTGGGAAGGACAGGAAACGTTGGCAGACGCTGGTGCAAAAAGCAGCAATGAGGTGTGGTTTTGGCCCTGGTCAGTTTCAGGTTTTTTGTGATTTCAAGAGATAAAAACGTCACGTTTTAATTGAAAAAAAAAAAAAAAAAGCAGAAAATAGAAGTTTAAATTTTTCGAAGCCACATGTTTTACTCCAAGTGTGAGCAGGCCTTTGTTTCTGCACAACATCTTTTTTTTGGTATTATTTACAGCTATTGTACAAAAGATTCAAGCCAACACACAGAAAAGTCCAAATCCACAGGTAGTAGGTGTAGGATTTTCATCACACGGTGGAGCAGATTACAGCTCAAGATGTAATCCAAACATCGGTTCATAGTTTATCCATCTACAGCCGACCAGTTCTGTGAAACATCTGCAGTTTCACCGAGGTCCATGCCGTCAACGGGGGGGATTAAAATATACTTTTCCTGACTTTCTCATTAATTCTGTTTCCATTTCCAGCTCTGCTCCCGATTCTTTACGAAAAACAAGCGCTCAGCTCCTGGTTAAGCAAACGGAGCAGAGCGGAGTCACATCAGTTAAACATCCAAAGCATTCGGTCCAAGGACACTTTAAAGGTCAAAGGTCAGGCGATCTGACCACACACTCTGTCTGATTATATACATGATTACTTAGAGGGATCAGAAAACGATTTCCTCTCTCGCTGGATCAGAGCTGGTTTGGTCGTTAGGGCAGATTCTCATCAACAACCAGGAAAGTTGCTAGTTCCAATTCCCCGGCGTGGCTTACATCTGCCCTGGAAAAAACAATCATTCATGGGACGTAATGAGGAAACCCTACACTTAGTACCTTCAAGTTCATCTCAGGTGTTCAGGGGGGGGCAGGTGGTCATTTTTAGGGGAGAGGTACATTTACACAGTTACAACTCACAAAAGTGCATCAATGACCACCAGGCGGGGGAGGTGGGGGATAGAACAGGAACAAATACTTTTTTTTTTTTCAACTTTCCATGAAGCTTTACTTCCTGTAAGCTTCAAGCGTCTTAAAATGCCAAACATCCTCAAAGTTGGAGATAAAAATCTAAACTTAGAAATAAAATAAAAACAAAATAATTCAAGTCATTCTTCCTTTCTAACGAAGCCCGCTGTGCGCATCAGGGTTGGAGGGACTCTGTTCCGTAAACAGAGCGCTCCCAGCCCTCTTTTCCTGGATTTCAATGCCTTAAAAAGCGCTCATTTTATGAGTACAGTACTTCAAAAATAGAAACTCGAGCAAGTGTCAGCATATCAAGAAAAAAAACAAAAACAATACTATGTTTACCTGATTGAATAAATTCGCTCTGATGATGTGTTTGCATGTTCTTTAAAGAAGATTTAGTTTGGATGGTGGATTCAAATGCTACGCATCTGATCTCCAGCTAAAATCATCAACTAATAACTAACCAGCTCCTTCTGACAGACAGAGCAGCTAGAAGAGGCTGTAAGGAACCAAAGGAGGAAAAAAAACACCAGTTATGCAGAAGCAAAAATCCCACTGTGAGATGAAAGGTGTGAAAACTGAAGTCTAACATAGATTAAGACATTTCCTGGATGTGTGGGATCCTTCCCGGAGTCGACGCCATCGGAGAAGAAAGCCGATTATGGAAAACAAGTGAAAATCCATGCGTGTGTGTTAGCATTAGCAAATATTAACTTCAAGCCTTTTCTGTGGGGGTTGTTAGATCGTTCAGTTCGTGTGTCCAGTTTCATGAATGTCTGAACGGATAATTAAGCGTGGTGACAGGAAATGTGTGCGTGTGTGTGTCTGTGTGTAAAAGCTGGTACATTAAAACCAGCAGGTGCTGCAGTTAAGAAAGGCCCAACAGGAGGAGCCGGCGAGCAGACGCTGGAGGTCATGGGGGGGTCATCCTGGTGTGCGTCGGATCCTGACCGGTCTGTACGCGGCTCCCTTAAGTCAGCTGGTGAGGCGCCTCCAGCATCTCCATCAGGAAGGTGTCGATGGGCGTGTCGCCGATCAGTTTAAAGAAGAACAGATGCTCCAGGCACTTCAGACCGATGGAGCGCAGTGCTGGGAGTCGGAGGAGGAGCTTAGCAAACCTAGATGGAGCAGAAACGGGTCAGATGGGTAAACAGCAGCAGAAACGTTAAGAAAAATCATAAATCCAGACATTGAAGGAGATAATAAACATCTTCTAAAAGTTCCTTCCATGTTCTACTGTACCTGCCCTGCTGATCCGGGTACTTCTGTTTGCAATAAGCTTCAAGAGACGCATACACTCTCTCTCTGAGGAGCTCCACCTCACTGGGGTTGGATAAACCCTTGGCATCTGTCACCGGAGAGGAAAATAAAGCATCAGTATAGAAATCCAAACCCAATTCACTGGTTTCCCATCAGAACATGACCAGAACCTCTGCATTAGATGCAGCAGCAGCGTGTACCTGGGTTAAAGAGAATGATAGCACGGAGGCAGCCCAGCTCTGTCTTGTCCATCTGCATGTCTCTCATTTTGCTAACAAGCTCTGTCAGAACCCTGAAGAGAGAAGAGATATGCAGTAGGATGGTGCAAACAGAGAGGGGGGGTGGAGGTCATTCAAAGTTAAGAACCAGGAGAGAGAAAAAGAGCAAAACATTAAGAAAAGAGAGAAAGATGAGTCCATGGGCCCACATGGTCGAACAGAAAACTGCTTCTCAATGCTTTTTCACAGGAAGTATGGTTTGGCTGAACTGCTGGTTCTGAACTGCTGGTTGTGAATTAGGAGGAAAAATAAAAACTGTTTAAACCCAAAGTGGTTTAAACAAGATGGCTGGTCTTTTTCCAACAGATTTACTATGAGGTGCATAAAGATCTTTAGTAAAAACGTCAGACGTTCAAACTGAGAACCGATGAGGAAACCGTAACAAAAAACATGTTAAATAATATTTCGATTTTCTAATCCTAAAGCGAAATATTTTTAACTCAGCCAGTTTTAAATAAACTATAGCTAATATTTGAAATGTAATAAACCTAAGACTTTATTACAGCTGGACCAGTATAGCTCCAGTTTTATGTCTGCAGTTTTAGGAATTACAGCTTTTACATAACTCTTCATCTAACTGTAGTTTGTTATCAACATCAGCCCTATCGTCTCCACTAGTCTGACATTTTAAACCAGATCCCTGTGGTTTATTGTTAAAATATTAACATAGGAACAAACACATATTTGCAGTCATTTTATTAAGTAAGCCTTAAAATAGGAGAAAATAAACCAAACTGTTGTATGTTGAGTATTAGAGAATATTCATCAAGTGGAGATCCTTATTAAGGATGACATTTTAACTAAATTATCATCTTATTAAAGCTACAGTGTTTAATTTTCATTGACCTCTAATGGTCAGATAACACCGCTTCTCCCTCTCTGACAATACGGAGGTCATCGTGGTACAAAATGGATGACGAGGAAAGTGATGACGAGGTTCGTTAACATAGATAACTTTATAAATAGTATTTCTTTGGTCTGTGGAGGATATAGATTTCATATAAACCAAACATGATGACGATCTCAACAGTCACTAGTTTATCAGCTCTGAGATGCCGTAGAGCAAAGATGTCTGCCTCCATATTCAATTATAAATAACAATTTCTAAGGCAACATAAATATTAAGAGATTTTCAGTTCGTAGATGATATAAATAACATAGTTATGTATAATACATTAAATTTCTGTTAGAAAATTGTTGCAATTATTACACACTGTAGCTTTAAGGCACAAGTCATGAATGCTGTAATCCCTCGGTTCTCAAAGTGTGTGGCGCGACCCACTGGTGGGGAATTGAGACGTGACAGGTGGGGC